CCCAGCACCCACGGCCCCTCCCACGCCGTCTTCGCACCCCCACACAACCCCCTTTTCACCGCCCCAACAGGCACCAAACCACCGCTCATAGTATCCATCTACGGCGGGCCCACCTCCGACACGAAACCCGGTCTCGATCTCGAGACGCAGTATTTCACGTCGCGGGGCTACGCGTACGTACATATGAACTACACCGGTTCCACGGGGTTTGGAAGGGAGTATCGACAAGCGCTCAATACCCAATGGGGAGTTCTGGATGTCGCGGATACGGTTTCTTGTGTGAGGTATCTTGGGCGTGAGGGTTTAGTGGATGGGAGGAGAGTTGGGATTAGAGGATGTAGCGCGGGGGGGTATACCGTCCTCCAAGCGCTGGTCACGCATCCTACTTTCTTCGCGGCGGGATGTTCGCTGTTCGGCGTGTCGGATTTGGAGGATCTGATGAGTAAGACGCATAAGTTTGAGTCGTGTTATGGGTTTGCGCTCCTGTTCCCTCTGGGTGCTAGTCAAGCGGAGAAAGAGAGGGTTTATCAGGAGAGGAGTCCTTGTTGGAATGCGGGGAGGATAGAGAGGCCTCTGATTTTGCTGCAGGGTGATAGGGATACGGTTGTGCCGCTGCAACAGGCGACGGGCATGGAGAGGGTGATGAGGGAGGCGGGGAAGGATGTTAGGTTGGTTATTTTTAGGGGGGAGGGTCATGGGTGGAAGGGGGAGGGGAGTATTAGGGGGAGTATTGAGGAGGAGGAAGGACTTTGGGGAAGGTGTTTGGTGAGGGGGGGTTTGTGAGGGGTTTGGGGTGGGATATGAGGGGGTTTTTGATGTGAGGATGTGAGGATGTGTTTACCTAGGGAAATCCTTGTGTTTGGTATTTTATTTTGATAGATAGGTAGGTCGGTAGAAGACTTGAGGTCTAGTAGTGAAATTAAACGAAGTGTCTTGATGGATACTCTCATAACTAATGAGGGAAAGTGATAATAACAATATACAATATCCTATAATCTCACGAAGTTATATTAAAAAATCGCCAAAACGTCTGAGCAGAGCGAAGCGAAGCGACCCACAAGCGAATCAAACAAACCAAAACAAAACCAACCCACAAGAAAAGAAAAGAAAGGAAAAAAACCCCCAAATACTCCACCCTCATACTTCCTCGTCCCCCGTATTTATGTACAAACCGCCGTTTTAAGCGACGGTAGTGTACTTTATTATCTATGACCTTGAGGTTGTTTGTGAGAGTTGGAAGCTGTCTTTTGGGGGTCGTGATGAGAGGGGTGAAATGTTTCGGACTTGGATCTTTTATGGGTTGGTTTTGTACTGTGTGGGAGTTGTGCACTTGTGGGTAGATGGGTAGATGGGTAGAGAGATAGATAGATTGATGGCCTTTGTGAGATGGCGCTGTGGGGGTTTGAAAAGGAGTGAGGAAAGGGAGAGGAAAGGGATGGGGGAAGGGGAATATTATAGTGTCTTCCATGCTTCTAGTAGTATCTTTTTAGACAGGGACGAATGGGGAAGGGAAAAGTTTCGTGCTAGCGCTCGTCTTTTTTCAAGAGACATATTGAGAAATTCGAGATAGTAACGGGAAGTTTTGTGTGCTGTGGTACGCGTGTGGAGGGATATCTTGTTGATGGGTGGGAGATGTATTGTTTCTAGAAACGTTGGGTTTTGGTAGTCGCGGGATGGATATTGGCGTTGTTTATGATGTGACATTAGGTATGTTCAAAACTTGATTTTTGAGGTGGAAAGTAATGTTGGAGATACCTGGAAATAAATACAAGGCTGCTGGTGAGAGGAAATGTTACATTACCTGCTGTAGAAAGAGAACTATTTCTCAACTTCTATGTTGGAATGCTGGGGTCAGGGGGCGAAATTTGAGAAATCGGGCCGTTGCGACCCGCATTCCCCGGATCCAATGACATCATGTTCTGGAACTGAAATGCGGGGAACAACTGCCCACGTAGTAGTGATCAATGAAAACACATCAATACTTCCACTTCAGCAAGAGATCGATCTCAAGTGGTGCATATGGAAAAAGTTAAAGACAGGTTAATGAATTGAAACGATCTAGAGATTTTCTTGAGTTAGTTTTCGCTGATGTTTTTCTCAACTTGAAGATCTTCTGAATTCGCATCATAGGTGGTAATACAGAGCCCTGGTGGCATACTGTACTCGAGTACAGGACGGCACACCTACATACGAACACGCCACTAGAAACAGTTTGCATCCACTAAATTTACCCCATCATCTCGGGCCTTTTCTCTGGAAAGAGTCCTAGATCTATGCACTAGAACTTCAAAGGAAGAAACTGTCCTGCAAACACGGCTCAACATCTGCATCTTGAAACTCCTGTCCAATCACCAAGATCACAAGTGATACCGGGTGCATATTGCCCCTCACTACATCCTTCAATTGGTACTACCCCGCGTACACCTCGGTGCGGAGTGAATAAAAAAAACGATGAGCAACATGGCTTTTTCGTGGTCCTTTGTCTCCCCCTCGTACCTGTACTTGGAATTCTTATATAACCACCTCGCAAGCTACCATGCATTTCCTTCCTCTCCTCTCCTCCACAATGTCTGGTTTTGGTACTGGATTCTAGTACTCATCTCCACTTTCCATCTCTATCTTGACGACCGGCGGAATATGGCTTCCAAGGGTCCTTTGGTTCTCTTGGGCATCCTTGCTACTTTACTTTTCACTACTTGGGCGCAGAATCCGACGACCACCACTACTAGTTTCCGTCCTGTTTTTACTGTTCCGGCGGATTCTGATGCTTCGGTTCCGCTTTTGCCTAATATTAGGGATCCCGAGGCGAAGAATGCGCAGGATGTGTGTCCGGGATATAAAGCTGAGAATGTTGTGAGAAATGAGTTTGGGTGGACTGCAACTCTTTCTCTTGCTGGGAAGGCTTGTAATGTCTATGGGACGGATGTTGATGCACTCAACCTTACTGTTGAATATCAATCTGCGGATCGTTTGCATGTTCAGATTACGCCCTCTCATGTTGACGCATCGAATGCTTCCTGGTATATATTACCAGACGAGTTAGTCCCCCAACCGAAAATCGATGCAGATTCCAGTACAACCTCTTTATCCAATGATTTGGAGTTTGTTTGGGATAACGAACCGACATTTCACTTCTCGGTTCTCCGGAAATCCACGGGAGACACTTTGTTTTCTACCACTAGATCCAAGATCGTTTTCGAGAACCAATTCATCGAATTTTCCAGCACACTTCCTGAGAATTACAACCTGTACGGATTAGGAGAAGTGATTCATGGCTTCCGAATGGGGAACAATTTCACGCGAACAATCTACGCAGCAGATGTTGGAGATCCAATCGACACGAATTTATACGGAAGCCATGCATTCTATCTCGATACTCGATATTATTCAATCAACTCATCGACAGGGAATCTCGCTTATGTTGCTAATGCCACGGACATGGAGGCAGAGTATGTCTCTTACTCTCATGGTGTATTTCTGCGAAATTCGCATGGACAGGAGATTTTGATGAAACCTGAGAATATCACTTGGAGGACTTTGGGCGGGGACATTGATCTGTTTTTCTATGCTGGACCGAGCCAGGAGGAGGTTACGAAGGCGTATCAGGTTAGTACTGTGGGATTGCCGGCCATGCAGCAGTATTTCACTTTTGGATATCATCAGTGTCGATGGGGATATGCGAATTGGTCGCAACTTCAGGAGGTGGTGGATAACTTTGCTCGTTTTGAGATTCCGCTTGAGAATATTTGGTACCCCACTCCTATTTCACTCTGCCTCAACTATCTCGCTAAGGTCTTGATACAGGACGGACATCGATTATATGAACCAATATCGGGATTTTGAAAATGACCAGAATACCTTTCCCTATGAAGAAGGGAGGACTTTCTTGAAGAAAATCCATGATAATGGTCAACATTATATCCCGATTGTTGATTCTGCGATTTATATACCCAACCCGGAGAATGCTAGCGATGCTTATCCTACTTTCAATAGAGGGAATGAGACGCAGAGTTTCATGTTGAATCCGGATGGGAGTTTGTATATTGGGTCTGTGTGGCCGGGTTATACTGGTATGTCTTCTGTTATATTTCTTTGTCCATGCCTCTCGGCCTTGAATCTCCAGAGAACAAAAGCTAAGTTTTTGAATAGTGTTTCCTGATTGGATTGGAGCAGTACTAAACGGTACTGGAGCTTTCAATTGGTGGACTAACGAACTCTCAACATGGTATAAAGAAATTCCCTTCGACGGAATCTGGATCGACATGAGCGAAGTAAGTTCCTTCTGCGTCGGCTCCTGTGGAAGCAAAAACGTCACCTTGAACCCCGTCCACCCACCATTCAGTCTCCCCGGCGAACCAGGAAACGTAATCTACGACTACCCCGAAGGGTTTAACCTCACGAACGCCACCGAAGCCGCATCAGCATCCGCTGCAAAAGCAAGTCAAGCTTCCTCTGCCGCAGAAGTTCCAGCTCCATTCTCAAGCTCAACATCAACCGAATATCTTAGAACGACGCCAACGCCTGGAATGAGGAGCGTTGAGTACCCGCCGTATGTAATAAATCACGTTCAAGGAGCCCTAGACGTCCACGCCGTCTCCCCAAACGCAACACACCACGGCTCCACGCAAGAATACGACTACCACAACCTCTTCGGCCACCAAATCCTCAACGCAACCTACCACGCCCTCCTTTCCGTCTTCCCCACCAAACGACCCTTCATCATCGGCCGCTCAACCTTCGCCGGAAGCGGGAAATGGGCAGGTCACTGGGGCGGAGATAATGCATCCATCTGGGCGCATCTCTTCTTCGCCATCCCACAAGCCCTTTCCTTTTCCCTCTTCGGGATCCCAATGTTTGGTGTTGACACCTGTGGTTTTGGAGGCAATTCCGATGAGGAGCTGTGTAATCGGTGGATGCAGGCGAGTGCTTTCTTCCCCTTCTATCGCAATCACAATACGCTCTCTGCGAACCCGCAAGAACCCTATGTTTGGGCCTCCGTCATTGAGGCGAGCAAGAAGGCCATGGCCATTCGGTATTTACTGTTGCCGTATATGTATACACTCTTCTACCAGGCGAGTACGCAGGGAAGCACCGTCATGCGTGCACTCGCGTGGGAATTTCCCCACGAGCCCCTCCTCGCTAGCGCAGATAGACAGTTCATGCTCGGTGGTTCGCTTCTCATCACCCCCGTCTTGACGCAGGGGGCTACCAGTGTGCAGGGTGTCTTCCCCGGCGTGGGAAAGGAGGAGATCTGGTACGATTGGTATTCTCAATCCTCGGTACTTGCGAAGCCCGGGGAGAACGTCACGATTGCGGCGCCGCTAGGTCATATACCTGTGTATATCCGTGGCGGCAGTGTTTTGCCGACCCAGGAACCGGGGTTGACGACGAGGGAGTGTCGGAGGAAGCCTTGGGGCTTGATTGTGGCGAGTGGTGGGGAGGGGAGTGCGAGGGGGGTGCTGTATGTTGATGATGGGGAGAGTTTGGTGCAGGATGCTACGTTGGTTGTTGATGTATGTCTTTTTTCCCCTTTTTTCTTCCGTGGGTCGGATAAGGATTTGAGGGAAGGTTACTGATTGAGAAGTAGTTTTCACTGAGTGGCAAGACGCTTTATGCTACGGCGAGGGGGGCGTATAAGGATACCAACCCGCTTGCTAATGTTACTATCTTGGGTGTCCAGGAAGGGGTGAGTACCGTCACTTTCAATGGGAAGGCTGTGGAAGGTGGTTGGAGGTATAATTCAACGAGTAAGGTTCTGGATGTTGGGCAGTTGAATGATATGACGGCTAATGGCGCGTGGGCGAGTGATTGGACTTTGAAATGGACGTGAGAATGTGAGGGAAGGGAACTTGGGAATGTGTCAAGGTTGTGATGTATAGTATAATTTACAATAAAAATAAGGGAATCGAAAGTGATCTCATAGCATGGACGTTTGTCAGGATCAATACCCTAGCCAAATCAAACCTCATACATCTTTCGGCCTATATTCAACTAAAAGAACAAATCTATTACTCTACCTCCACCCTACCCAAACCCCACACCTCTGTTCCTCACAACTCCAAAGCCCACCTCTCCCTCATCCTCACCCCATACCTCAAATACACCCACGGCGTCGGAATCATCGCCACAGCAATAAACGCCAACAACGAGTTTCCCCGCACCAGTCCCAGCGCATCATACAGAGGTTGACCGGCAAGCGGCAAGAACGCCCCGAAAAAGGAACGGATAATCGTGTTTGCTGCCACGGCGGAGACGGCGTAGGTCGTGAAGGCGTCGACTAGGTAGGCTTGGATGGAGATCCAGATCACGATGATGCCGCAGCCTGTTATTGCTGTGCCGATTATGGGGACTTTCTGAAGGGGGTTAGTGATGTACTGTAGTTGGATGGGAAGGGGAATTGGGAATTGGGGAAATTAGGGCGGGGAAGAGATATACCTAACCAATGTACACCGTTTTCGGCAGTCCAGCCGTACCAGAAGAGGCCTAACGTACTTCATAAGGAGTCCGGATTTATAAGCAGTCCGGATTTTTTACCCCACCATCCAACTTTTAAAAACCATAGAACTTTAACCACTTAATATTTATTTATATAAACTATACTATCTTTCTTATTCTCGATCTGGGCACCTAGGAGCAGTATGCGCTAGTGATCTACATATACTACAGGTTCGTGGTGCACGAATTCGTGGTTCAATTAGCGGGGCCACAGCTTCATCCAAAACCATATTATCACTATTTTGAATAAGTTCCCTCCCTTCCTGACCTGTAAGAACACCCCCAGTAGCAATATATTGACGTCGCACAGTCTTCTTCTTCTTTTGACGTTCAGATTCAGCTCGTAAACGTCGATTTTCCTCTGCCAAAACCGTAGCTGATTGCATAGCCATCTTACACCCTTTAACCAATTGATCTAATGCAATAGCAGTAGGGCTTGAGAGAACGTTTGTACGTCGTTTAATAGATGCTTTAATTGTCTGGGTTTGCTGATCTGCCTCATATGTATTATGGGGTGTCTCAGGGACCCAAGGTAGTAGGTTTGGAGAAAGTAAAGGAGGAGTAGGCGTATGTAATTGAGTATGTAATTTACTCAATACTTGATCTGGGTTGTACGGGACAAGGCCAGTAGTTGCGAATCCATTACAGATTGTGTTTTTGACCATAGTACTTGTACGGGCTACACGATATATTGAAAGGAAGTCTGGTTTATCGATATGATATGTGCCGGCTCGTACTAGCTCCTCGACTCCTCGTCCATAAAGTCGCTTTAAAACTGCAAAGCAACTAACATCTAATGGCTGTAAAAGATGAGATGAGTGCGGTGGCATACAAAGCGTTATGATGTTATGTTCTGAACAGAAAAGATCGAATTCGGGAGTAGAATGACTACCATGGCCATCGAGGATTAAAAGTCGATATACTCCTTTTACACGGTGAGAGGCCAGACCTCGAATAGCTCAAAGGTGTGGTTTCGAATATTCAATTAAGAAGTACGTGAAGACTACATACATGCTGTGAGAGGCCAGACCTCGAATAGCTCAAAGGTGTGGTTTCGAATATTCAATTAAGAAGTACGTGAAGACTACATACATGCAATCTCTTCCTCTATATATAGAGAGAGGAAGAGTTTCTGGAGTCTTCCAAGAAACTGTTTGACAAATACGTGACGTCAAAAGAATAGAGTAGAAAAGTGTAGAAAAGGAGAAACCAATTTAGCAGTGGAGCAATGGCCAATGCTGAGCGGGGACTTTGGTCAGTGCTTAGCGAGGGCATGGCCCGAGCCTCCATCATGGGTTCCAACCCTCACACACGGTCCTTGGTATATTTCTCAAATACGTCTGAAAGCCACTTAAGACCTAATGAATCATTGGTCCACCCTTTATCACTAAGTGCAATTGTCCAATCTGCTGGTAATTGATCTGTATACCAAGTCGATATATGCACCTTGCCCTCAAATATAACCATTGGAGGCAACACCCATCCATCTGCACAAATTGATTCGACAACTGTAACCCATTCGCGATTCCCTGGTTGTATATGAATAGCCCGTCCTGTATATTCTGACCCTGTAACAACTTTTGCGGTCGCAATTACTCCCATCTGAAAGCCAGTCTCGTCGAAATTGTATATATCCTCCGCTAGTATACCATATTTCGCAACAATATTATGTACTAATCGAAACCAATCTCGGATAATCATAGGATCCTCGCATTTTGCGCGCTTATAGTCGTATTTACGAGTGTATTTCGTCCGTAAAGAGTCGTGGCGCTTTATAAAGTTGTCAACCCAGCATTTTCCGACAATAATTCGACCTACTCCAGTTCGCTTTTCCAGTAGTAAATCGGCCATTTGGCGTATCGAATCTTTCCGTACTGGCAGACCTCTAGCTTCCATTGATAACATCCATTGTATAAGTGCTGATTCCTCGAGGTCGGTGAGTTTCTGGTTTCGGGGTCGGAAATCGCGTTGTGGAATAGCTCCCTTGACGCGGTCGTAAGTAGTAGAATATGGCGCATCGTACCTTGTACAAGCTGCTTTTAAACTTGTAAATTGACCCTTATTGTATGCACTGATTGCAAGAGCAATTTGACCTTCTTTTCGAGACATTTGAACAATAATTGGGTAAGTTATGTAGATTGAAAGTGTGTAGGGTGGTCAATGGTGGGGTAAAAAATCCGGACTGCTTATAAATCCGGACTCCTTATGAAGTACGTTACGGGTAACATCACGACGGCGGGGATCATGGTGATTAATCTGTTTTCTGGGATGTTTGGTTTTCCGCGTGTGGTTTGCCGTTTCATTATTCGGTCGGAGGCGGTGCCGAAACCTATCATTCCGATGGAGCATCCCACACCAAGACCTGTAAATATTAGGAGACTTACGAGAGTATTTACTAGATCTTCAATATTGAGAAGGAGCCACATACCGAGAGATGTCAAACCCGTGACTCCTATTCCAAATCCATACTTTTGCTCGTACACTTCTGTAAAAGTGACGAGCATCAGATAGAGGTAAGCGAATACGATACCGGTGTAGATCCCCAAGGAGAAAATGATTGGGGAGTAGAGAATCATCTTTGAGGGTCTAGTGACGGTTCTCCAGAATAATTCAGTGGCGGAGATGGGAGTTGAGGATGCTGGTTCGACCTTGAGGGAGGTGTTTCCCGTGCTTTTGCGTAGTTTACTTGCTTTTCGTTCGAGCAGAAGTGGTGCGTACGTTTCTCTCATTATGATGGCGGTGATCAGTGCTGTTGTTCCGGACTGTAAAGATATGTTTAGTATGAGATACAATCTTATAATCTGGTCGGCGAAAGTTACCGCTATGGTGATGATCCAGAAAACCCACCGCCATCCTAAACTTTGAGTCACGAATCCCCCTGCTACAGGACCGAGGACAGGACCCCATAGTGAGCCAAAAGCCGACACACTCAAAGCTAATCTCTCTCTTCCTGAACGATCATATCAGAGATCGTTCCTCCACCAAGTCTATCATCTGTCAGTCACGTTTCCACATGAAAGTGAATGGATATCATCCCAACTTACGCAATCGGCGATGATCCAAAAGTCCCAGCTAAGAACCGGAATCCAATGAGCATGTGGACATTGGTACTCACTGCACACGCAATCGAAGTAACGACAAACCCGACGTTACAAAAGTGATAGACGGGAAGACGGCCGTACATCTCCGACATGGGAGCCACGACAAGAGGACCAAAGACATAACCGAGGAGGTATATCGATACGATAAACGAGCCCAGAGTCCCGCTTTCGAAATGGAACTTGGTTTTCAGCTGCGGGATTGCTGGTGCCACCATTGAAGAAGCAAAGGGTCTACCATCCCCAAAATTAGCATGTTTTCTGTAAGTGTTTTGGGGATGGGAAATCACGTTAGAAATGTTATCAGAGCAACGAGGAGGATATGACTCCGTTTCTTCCACAAGGGCCAGTTCCGAGGATGTGTTGGATCCTGGGGATCCCAGCTGACATAGTTCGTCTCCGTGACATCGTCGAGATTCGTGCCATTTCCATCCTTCTCGAGCCTGGATTCTTGTGATTCCATATTCGAAGGGGTTGTCGCCAAGCTTCGAGCGTTTCCTCTGAGAGTGAGGCTGTCGGCATATCTCAACTTTCAAAGCGGTTAGGGCTTAGGCGTTGCGATTCGGAGCTTGTTTGTTGCGTTTCCCGGACCCCCCGTTGGTGGTGCGGATTAGCGCCACCCACCCCTCATAGGTAGGTACCTCTAGTGACGTACTGGAGTGGCACAGCAGAACACCGATTTATGGGTAATTACGCTAGATAGGAGAAATATCGCATGATTGTTCCCTAGGACCCGGGATTCTACACCGCTTTGCTGTGTGACTGATGGCGTTGGGTGTGTTGCGTGCATGTCTTTCTTTTCTTTGTTACTACACACACCCCTCCACCTCGTTTGCCATCCCCCTCCTTTCACCACCCCACCAACGATAACCAATGACTTTGCCATAGATACGAGTAGTCTCAGTGGCTCCTAGTAAGCACGAGAAACCAGATCCACTAGCTATTTTTTTATAGAGATGACTCGAAATACAAATTACAATGAAGTAAATATATTTATTCCTGCAGCAGGTGTTTTATAATTCTCAAAAGGGTTCAAGCTAGCAGCGACCACTATCTTTCATAATGGCCACAGAGGACTTTGAAAGTTTTGAGCTTAAAGACGCCGGAGAATCCGCGCCATTCATCCCTTCAAGTGATTCCGAATATGTGGAGCTAAAGAAAGATGGCTCGGATTTACAGATGGATGTCGGGCCCCTTGCTTGGACCCAATGTGCCGCCAGCTTCTGTCTTTCCATGGGAACTTGGGGTGTAGGGAATTCATATGGTCCAAACTCCATCCTATACATAAAAATAAGACTCACATGAAGCTGATGAAATAACCAGGGGTTTTCCAGACATACTATGTCAAGACATTCCCGGAACTCTCTCCTTCGACCATCTCATGGATCGGGTCCATTCAATTATCTGTTGAAATCCTTCTAGGTACCATCGTAGGACCGTTATACGATTATGGATACTTACGGAGTCTCGTTTTCGTTGGCTGTTTCTTGTCGGTGCTGGGGATGATACTCACCAGTTTTTCGACGCAATACTGGCAGTTGGTCTTCTCACAGGGCGTGCTGGTTGGAATTGGAAATGGCTGTTTGTTCATCCCAAGCTTTACCGTCCTGCCAAACTATTTTGAAAAGAAACGAGCTTTAGCTATAGGTATTGCGCAGTCCGGGAGTGCATTAGGTATCCCTCACTTGTCGCGTACAGTACACCTCAAGACTTGCTAACCAGGTCCAGGAGGGGTATTCTCCCCAATGCTATTCCGTGCCCTAGAGCCCAGAATTGGTTTCCGCTGGACAGTCCAGATCTTCGCACTTATAATGTTCACGATCTTCATCCTCCCAGTATTGGGTTTGCGCATGAGATTCCGACCATCAGAGGCAAGGAAATTGCTCGATTTGAAGGCTTGGACGGAACTACCTTTTTTTCTGACAGGACTCTGCTTCTTCATTTTATTCCTTGGTGTGGACATCCCGGCTTTTTATATCCAGCTTTACGGGATCAGGAAGCACATACTCAGCGATCATTTCGCATCTTATCTTTTACCTCTTCTGAATACCGGCTCACTATTTGGAAGAATCGTAAGTTTGACTCACAACCACTCCATCCGATTACTCCTAATATAACCAGATACCCTCCTACATCGCAGACCAAGCCGGTGTCTTCAACATCACAGCTATCTGCATCTTGCTATCTGGCATTCTCGGCTTCGCATGGATCGGCGTGGGCAGCATATACAGTCTCTTCCTTTTTGCGGTCGTTTTCGGTTTCTTTTCTGGTGCAATATCAAGTTTATCGCTGAATCTTACGGTGGCGTTATCGCCGGATCCGGGGCTCTTGGGTGTAAGGTTGGGTATGTTGTTGATTCCTTCTGCTATGGGACTTCTGTTGGGGAATCCGATTGCGGGCGCGTTGGATGAGTCGGGGAAGTGGGTACGGTTGCAGTTGTTTACTGGTGGGGTTCTTGTTGTTGCTGCTGGTCTTGTTGTTATTGTTAGAGTGCTTTTGTATGGGAAGAGTTGGGAGAAGAAATGCTGAGAGTCTGTTTTGAGAACAAAATGATACCTAGGAAAGATAGAAATAGAAAGGTACAAATGATTGTAGCAAAATTTTGCTTACAAAGATATCTTGTGGTAGTAAAACTATCACTGGCCAAACACGCTAAATTGACGGATCCTCGTTGTGAGGTTTCACGGTATTACCACATTAGCTTTGACTCATAACGTCAAGTAGCTAGCTATTCAGCTGCCAGATAATATGATATTTTGTGTGACTCCGTGCCCTTACTCCAGCAGAATAAAAGGACTAAAACCAATAGTTTGGGAATAGCTTCATTTGACGACGTTGCATTGCAAGAATGCCCCGCCATCCCCACATGTTCTCATTGGTGTAGAAACGAGCGGCGTTAACGATTTGAGAAAAACAGGGGGGTGGTTCTAGTCAAACATGGGGTGATTTCCAACATTCGGACTTGCCCATCGAATGTTTTCTTTTAGGATAGATGGTACCCTGCATATGCAACCGGTAAATAACTTACGCCGGAGAGAAGTCTAATGCGATAAGAACCTTTAAGCTTATGTCAATTGCGGAGAGATAGATCAGCCGGGAATATGTACGGCAACGGTTCAAAATACGACGCTGCTACGCCGTAAGGTCCACTATGATTGCGTTCCCGGTAGGTTTTGATATTTTTTGGTCATAGTACGCCGTAATTGCTTTCACGGTTCTTAACTTCTTATAATCCATTCAATTGACATGAATCGTTCGATATGATCAAAATGATTACAGACTAGGAATTGGATAATGATTAAAAAACGACGGTCAGTTACTATTACCTCCTTTGTCCACAGAGTTCAATGGGAAACTAGATTTAGGAATGGAGCAAGAGAAGGCTAGATGCATATTCGCTTTCGCTCAGAATTTGCAAGTTGGTGTTACAGTAAGATACCACGCAAATGTCAAGTATGCATTTCAAATTGCGATCCCCAACCTCTGCCGTGAAGTACCGGATCAGATGATCTGGTGATCACTGATTACTACTTTGTGTAAGCGATCGTTTGTCACCTTGCCTCTAGACCACACAGAACATCAATTGAGAAAGTCAAAGAACGGGACCGAGTACGACTAGTCGCAGTGGCAAATCAAACCCTTCCAACCCCTCACAGAAAAGCTCTTTGACGGGAGAAGGGACAAAGAATATCGCAACTGCAAATACTTCAAATAGCAAAAAGATGTTTCGCAGACGCCGAAAGATGGGAAGGGGAGACCTCGAGAGCCTGGGAAATACTTTCGACATGCAGGATACAGTAAACGATACTGGAGCAAAAGCTCATGTAAGTGGTGAGGATATAAGGCTGGTGCGGTTGAAGCAGATTAATTCCGAAAATGGGAGGGAGACTCCAAATACACACAGCAGAGCGAAGTGGGTTCAAATCATATACAAGTACAGCGGGAGTTTCATGTTCAAAGAGATTAGTAGAGGTCACTGAGAGGCAAGAAACGTTGGAGATTAGATGCGTGTAATAAATATCGATGTAGCATTTGTAGAAAATCAGCAATCACTAGGTAATAGAACTACGAGTCACAGGCCCATCGTTCTGTCACATCTGGCAAAAAGATACGGGCGCATCAACTAGCAAATCTGCCAGCATCCGCTCCATATCCCAATACTACCCGGTCATCACTGACTACTTCCGCACTTCGTCGATGCTTTGCTGGTGGTATTCTAGGATAGCTCTCCTCTTCAATTTTCCAACCGCTGTAGTCATACCCTATCTCAAGTCAGTATCCTCACAGATGTATGAGATGGCATTTCAACTAACATTTGTAACATCCCATTCCTTCAGGGGCGATAACACTACGGCTTCAACAACTTCCAAGCTTGGTAGATCATACTCGCGCGCCTTCTCTTGAAGCTGTTTCAAAACAAGTCGTTGCGCTTCGGCGGTTTCCGAGAGACCAGACTCGGTTCCAGCAGAGGATTGGAGCAGTTTGTTCAAGACGGGCTCGATAGGGATAATGATAGCTGTAGGCTTTACCCTTGTAGATTCGGCATAGATGCAAACGTTTGCCACTACCGGAGCAGATCGATACAATGCCTCGAGCTGCGGATAATGTCACTTCCATGTATTGAAAAGGGAAAACTTTAACTTACTTTCTCCAGAGCGATATACTGTCCATTGGGATTCTTGACCAGATTTTTCTTCCTATCAATAATCCAGAGTGCTCCATGTTCGTCGAACCTGCCTACAAGATGATATAATTAGCTCTCTGTAAGTTTGACGGCAATGTCGGAGATTGAAGCTTGTACCTATATCGCCAGTTTTTGGCCAGCCATCCTCAGTAAATGCCTTCGACGTCTCATCTTCATTTCTCCAGTAGCTGTCAACTACGCTGGCTCCACGAATGCAAAGCTCTCCTTCTGGCGGACTACTTGAGGCATGATATCCTGCTTCTTCGTAATCAATTAATTTCGCCTCCACGCAGCCACTCAACCCTCCAAGTGAGCCTGTATGCCACTGAGTTGGGTCCATCATGGCTCCTGTTCTATGATTTTTCAGTAAACCACCACTTCTTCAGAAGTGGGGGAACTTACCCACATGTCTCAGTCATACCGAAGCAGCCTGTGATGGGTGCTAGAGAGAATGAGATGAATTCTTGAGTATGCTTTGCAATTCCAGAGCCACCATAAAACGAAGTCTGCCACCAAAGATTTCACGAACCCCAGAGAAGGCAGCTTCTCGCTCACATGGGAAAACAGCGCCTTCTTCGAAAGCTTTCTGTTTTTCTCTCAGAGCATCCCAAAAAGCGGTCTGTTTATCAGGAGGGTATGCACCAATTGAAGCCACAATGAATTTTCTTGCTGATACCCAGATAGCTGGAACGCCTATCATATAAGTCGGACGTAATTCCGTCAAGTCTCCTTTACAGTTCTGAACCGAATGGTCGAACAGAGTTCTTGGAGTACCGTAGCCCATGGGCACACCCCAATATAGAAAACCATGTTCTGAGATAAACTCCATAATATGGGCAAGTGGAAGATAGGCGAGGACAACATCGTTGCTGTCGAAGTGTCCGCCCCAAGTTATATTCCAACCAGAAACTGGAAGAAAAGTCGTTATTAAATCAATATAACTTAGGTTCAAAATAGGGAGCTAACCTGCTGCAACTATGTTCTTGTGTCGTAAAGGAACCCCTTTTGGGTTTCCAGTGGAGCCAGATGTATACATAATTGCGCAAATATCATCGGGACTTGGTGAATGTGGTTCGGGGGTAGCCGCTGCACTTCTTCCCAGCGAGACTAACTCGTCGAACTCAATGAACTTGACATGAGAGAAGTCTTGCTTGAATTTTTGAATCGCGTCACCTGAAATTCTGGTATCATTCTTGTATACGACAAGACGCAAAGCAGGTACAGCATCAAGTGTAAGCGCAAGACGTGCAATGGAACTTGAGTCAACGAAGATAGCTACTGAGTCGGTGGATTCGATTGCATGTTGAAGCCCAGATAGTCCCAAATTGCTGTAAGCTGTTACAATCGCAATTGATTGAGATGCTGCGCCGTGAAATGTTGATAGCCACGACGCACTATTGTAAAGTTAACAGTGTTTAAAAATTTAGTGAAGGAGCAACACACCTAGTTTGAGCCCACATACAAATCTTATCTTGAGAGGGAGTCAAACCAAGGCTGACAAGACCAAGGCCAATTGCCGTGACAAGTTTTTCATACTCAATGTAAGATATAAATTTATACGGGCTTAACTCCGAGATGATCAGCTGCTTCTTGTTGCCATTGGCATCTGGCGGACCGTCCTTGAAATGGGCCTGAATCTCAGTACGCGAGCCAAATGCCGGATTGCTTCCAAATTTGGCCGCACTTCTTCGAATGAGATCTTTTACAGTACGGATGCCATCTTCTGGGATTATGGAAAGACCATCCTTGACTTTGACGTTACGGAAAACTGGGGTCTCCATGGTGAAATAGTGGAGGAAAAGCAAAGTTGTAGATGATCTGCTTCCTTTTGAAGTGACTTTCACGAACGCGTGGTTTGTTGGTGTTGGTTGAGGATCCAAGTCATGGACCAGGGTAAGCAGTCAAGCACGATTGACCCAATCGAGTGTCACAACGACTAGGCAAGCCTATTGTGTACTATCATACTTATCTTGTCACACCTGCTTATTGTATGTCATACTGCAGAGAATGCAGGGAAAACTGGATCATTATGGCTCGGAAGGAAGAAATAAACCGATGCATGTACAGTACAGCTTGTAGTGTTTCTGACACGCAGTCATCCGTCTCACGCCAATAGGAAAGTTGACGAGGACTCAACTGACTTAAGGAAAACTTGTGGGGAAGACCCACCATTTGTCACCCGTCAAAAATTGTTCTCCATCTAGAGCTCTCTTTGGGCAACGACTTCCTTGCAGAAAGTTTGGGGTTTCTATGTCTCAAACTATCAACATCTTCGCTTAACTCTATAAGTCGTCGTGACCATGGAAACTGAGCAACAACAGCGTCCCTTATTCGAGGATGAAACTTCTAACAATGACGTGGATATCTCCCTATCCAGAAAGAGGTCGCAATCTCTCAGATCGCAAAATCCCGTCATATTGATCCTTCTAGTCCTCTCCTTCGGGCTGAACGCATTCCTTTCTATCATATTTTTCCTCAAACCACATACCACTTACTCATCACACAACAGTTGGTACCCATCTTTTCACGATACTCCATTATTCTAACCACCATCCAGTTGGTCTTACACCTGGTGTCCAAAAGATGCAACGCTGGCGCTACACAGCGTACTCCCAGCCTAACGAGACAGCACGATATTCGGCATGGAACAGCATCGATGTAGATAGAACAATAATAGCAATAGATCACGACGAAGCTGTTGCTCTTGGTCTTCCAGCTACCGAGGTCTTTCCCCTTGATGAGAGGAAGGATATTTATGCTGTTAATGCGTATCACCAGCTTCACTGTTTAGTACGTTCATCTCACTCATCAACAGCGAAGTGGAGCAGAGAGGAAGACGAAACTAATCCATTGCGTAGAAACTCCTATATAGATCTTTCCAAGAAGCACACCACGGAAAGGCGTTTAGCAACGGTTATACGCACATTCTTCACTGCCTCGATTCCATAAGAGGAGATGTAGAATGTCAAGCTGACGATGTGAATCTCATCCCTTCCCTTCCTCCCTCCTTCCCCTTTCCTCTTTCTATTCCCTACTAACTTCTTATCCACAGCATGTCTACGGTGTCGGTCCGGGTTTAAACCCCCCAATCTACGAAGGCCAACACATGCACTGCAAGAATTCCTCTGCGCTCGATAAATGGGCTTCTGAACACCACTCTTTCTTCAAGTATACCTACGTCAACGATGAGAAATCACTTACCGAGATGCATCAATGGAGGAATTGTCCAGAGAACTCGCCACATGGGGAAAATATGAGGAAGTTGCTTGGGTATGGGGATGATTGGAAACCGGATTATGAGGGGAATTTCGGGGCGGAGTTTAGGGAGGGATATGAAGAAAAGGTGCTTTGGGATCATCAGTAGGTGAATGGGGTGAGGAGAGGTGGGTGAATGAACTGAGGGAGGGTTTTGGATGCATTCTTTCGGGGATGATTTGTTTGGTTAGCCTGGAATTATAGTGAAAATAATCCGAATATAGAAATCAAGAACTATTCTAGAGAGTCACACCGATCGGGTCTTGTCTGTTTCCAAGACCTCATCTATTCTCCGCATCAAAACTCATCATGCTCACATCAGTGATAACTTCCCGCACTCTTCCATCCCTCATCGCCACCACAACATCCCTTCCTGCTTTCATATGCTCAGCCAAAACACCAAGTCTATGCGCAACAATGATTACTGTATATCATTTTCTACTGAACACTTCCTCAACAATTCCATAAATGACAGCCTCCGTCACTAAATCCAGCGACGAAGTAACTTCGTCCAAAAGAACTACCGGTTTACCATTACTTCTCGCAGAATCTAGGCTCTTGACCTTGACTAGTGCCCGACAAAGTCCGAAGAGTTGAAATTGACCCACTGAGAGTTCGCGGAAGAGTGAGAGCTGTTGATCGAGAATGGGATGTCTGACGTTCAGTGAATTTTCTGCATCCCTCTCGTGTCCAATAAAGTGGTCCCACAGTCTAGTCCTTTTCAATGCATCGATAATAACTTCGTCCGATAGAGACCCATCAGGATCAAGATTAAAGCGCAGGGTGTCATTGGGTAAGACGAGGGTATCTTGGGAGACGGTGATAAAACAGCGTTCTCGGAGGTATTCTGACGGCACAAGACGAATATCTATGCAATCTAGTTTTATTGTGCCGTACTGGGGTTCTAGGAGTCGAAGGAGGGTAAGGAGCAATGTACTCTTGCCGCTGTATATGGGTAAATGTTGATATATAATCGGTAAAGAGACGGGTGATGAGGGAAACCTACCTGCCCGTTCGTCCACAGATGATAACCTTTTGACCCGGGTCGATATCGAGATTGATGTTCTGCAGGACTGCAGAGTCGGAGCTTGAAATCATCAACCATCAGCTGGGATCCGAAAAATTGCTTCGTAGCTACTTACTTGTAGGACACGCCAACATCCTCAAACTCAATCCGTCCCATCGTAGGCCAATCACCAGGAGGCTCATAATCTCCTCCATCTCTCCCCTCCGACTCAGTCATCATCTCAAATCCTTTCAACCTCGCAATCGCCCCTAGAGAGATTTCGAGATTTGTCCAATTCTCCACAAGCTTCAGCAACGTCGTATTAGCAACCAGCATAATATTGAGAGCAATCCCAATCTGTCCACCACTAATACTCCCTCGGAGGCCAATAGCTATAGCCACAACACCTGTCGCAATCGCCGCAGCCGAGAGATCAAGCACGATGTTAAGCCACCTCTGTAAAGACAGCAGTAGAAATTCAGGACGTTGCGATTTATCTACTCGTGAGATATTTTCTTGGATAACGTGCCGAGACCAGCCGAATGCTCGTGTGGCTTCGAGACCTTCGACCTTGTGGGAGTTAGTTAGGGGTGATGAAGGATTTAGATGAATTACTGACGCATTCTAGAAAACTTGAGAAGACTGCGGCGCGTGATTCTAATTCTAGGAAGCGGAGTTCTCGCGAGGTTCGGAAGTAGATTTTTTGAATGATATAGACTACGAGGATGCAAGCTGGCAGTGATAATGCCAGTCATTTCTGGGCGACGAAGAGAAGGGCCGCTTGCATCATGAGTTTGAAAATTTCTGAAGAGATTAGCATTTTGAACAGTCAGTTCGAGCGCCTGGAACCTCACGGGTTGTTACATTAGAGAGAGCTGGTGGTAATTGTTTGTCGATCAGTTGTATATCTTGACTGAATCTAGAAACACATTAGTGACTATCTACTAAGCCGAGGAGAGTATGCATGCCTGTTCAGGATTGAGCCGCTGTCCGTTTTGGAGAAGTACGATAAGGGTGCACTTCAAAGATTTAGCTAAAAAACATGGGATGGACTCGAGAAATCTCTCACCAGGTCACGATATCCAAGAGGAGCTGATGTGCTCGCATTCCCGACTTTGGTGCAAGACTGATCAAATTTGACCTATTCATCATTCAATAACAAATACCGACCGATTGCTCACTGGTGACTCACCACATAATGCCATTCGTTGAAGTCCACGACATGATCGATAAAAGGAGAAAGCCTACAACACAACCCTTTTTTCGAGATCAAATTTTTTGTTCTAAATCACTTGCTCTCACTTGCTTGTACTAAACAAGCCGATT